AATTCACATCTGTAGCTGTTTAACTGACGATTCACATCTGTAGCTGTTTAACTGACGATTCACATATGTAGCTGTTTAACTGACGATTTACATCTGTAGCAGCATTATTGCCTGCATACTAAGCTGAACATAGCTCGTACACGCGCGATCAGTTGGCCTTAACGTGGTATATATGTCTGAACAGATGGTGAAAGAGCTGTATGTTGCAGTGGCTCTTAAGATGTGTTCCAAGTGTGACAAGTATATGTTGTAGAACTCTGTCGTATTCAATGGAATTTTGTTTTGTTTAAATGACTACTGCCAGCCATAATTTAGTCCTTGGTGATTGCGTTACTGCTGACAGCACAAGGAACACATTTATAGAGTTATATAGATATCCTTTTTCCCCTTTGTCTTACGATTATACGATTATACGTCCTACGTCTATACGTTTAATTTACTGCATCTTACTTCACTTTTTCTGTTGCATCTGATGAAAACAGAAAGTTGTGTCGCATGCATTACTTAATTAAATCAATTTCGGCGCGTGTAATAATTCAAATTAACTACACACACGTACATATATAATGTTAAGTACTTTTATCCTGTTTACAGAACATCTGTATCGACTAAGTATTTAAAAACTTTTTTATTTCTTTTAGTAGTGACAATAGTGTCTTTCATGTATCGAAACGATTTGTAGATTTTATGAATACATACTTCACGAAACACATGACGTACTTCTGCCTGATTGAGACATGGAGGCTCAGGTTGTATTGAGTGGTATAGGGCGAGACGGCAGCCTATGATTGGTTCGCGGTAATAGGTTAAATCGACACATAGTAAGAAGGGAGTTGCTGCGCGCGCGCAAACAGAAGTATATAAAGGCATGCGTGATGCTATCTAGGCAGTCTCTAGCTCACGTCGTCATTGCCAATCTATGCAACATCTGAATTGTAGGTTGCACAAAGATCCGAAGACAGCAACATAACTCACAGAAACGTAGACTATTTGAAAGCTTCACGCATCGACGATGGATGTGACCTTGTTTTCGAATGAGAGCAACCTGACAATAAGCAGTCACCGGAACAACGCTGATGAGGATTACTCTGACGACGCAAATATCACTGCTATTAAAACACATACTAGATCATTAAACGTCCCACTGTTTGTACTGGGTTCGCTATTTACAGCCGTAGGCAATGGTCTTGTGATTACCGTTATAGCAAAGATTCACCGACTGAGAACAGCAGCAAACATGACGATCGCTAATCTGGCCTGTTGTGACTTCGCACTCGGCAGTACACTCTGGACAGGAGTCCTACGCCGTGACACGATGCCGCGGTGCGCCGTGTTTACGGGCTTTGCAATGACGCTTTTTCAGCTGTCGTTGATGGATATTGCACTCTGTACGATCAACAGATACGTGGCCATCGTGTATCCGTTACGCTACAACCAGCTGATGAATCCTGCTCGCACTGGTGTTCTCATAACTTTATCGACGACGTACGCGATTGTGATTGGAATCGCAGCAGCCATCCAAGTATCATATCGCTGGGAGCCGCCTTCAATCTGCATCGTTGACCTAGAACTTTCGCCTGGATTCGCTTATGTATTTTCCAGTCATTATATTATTCTGTTTATCTTTATGACTTACTGCTACGTCGTCATCGCAAGGATTGTCTGGGACCACACACGAAGGATGGCCGCAGCATCAGATGAGGAGCGAGAGAACATGTCCGCTTTCCACGCTACCCTGAAGATGTCTAAGATCCTACTTACAGTTGGCGGCACTTCGTTTACTCTGCTTACACCGCACGTTCTTCACTTCATCTTAATCCACAGCTTTCCGTTTCGACTTCGAACACTTCGCTTCATTCGATTAAATGCCATCGTACTTAATTCACTAATGAATCCAATCATCTACTTCTACAAGTACAAAGATTTTCGTCTAGCAGTGAGGGAACTATTTGGTTGTGCCACATCCACTGTTAACCCATCTCAGCCGAACGTGGAGCAAGACCCTTAGTTAACTGGTAATGTGCTGACTGCAGTGTTAGATGGCATTTGTGCACTAGCCTGTTCACTTAAGATGTGTATTTATATTACATCCTAGATGTTTCGCCATACAATAGTTTGACGCTTAGATATATCACATATATTTAATTGCTAAAAAGCGATAATATAGCCATGAATTTGTGGTAAACAACTTAATACATCTCGTTTATTAGTCAATTCATTACTAAACACTGGAAGGTTGACGTTTTTATAAAAATTCTCGTGTAGTTGGAAAAGATAATTCGTTAAAACCTTTTGAATGTAAGTAACAAAAGATGGTTCTTGATGTCCTGAATGCAATATCTTACTCTAACAGTACTAAGGACGTAAATAGCAGATTAGGGGCGACCCACCTAGTAGTTAAGGAACATGTAACGTGCTTGTAACAATAAATATAACGATTATTANTTCCCAGGGGCGTGTACAGGGGAGGTCCAAAGGGTCCGGACCCCCCCTGCTCGCGCAGAAACGCGTGTACAGGAGCACGCGAAGGGGGGGTCTGGGAAATTTTTGAAATTAGACCCCCCTTCGCGTGCTCCTGTACACGCCCCTCGTTTCGCCCCGGTTTCGCCCCCCCCCCTAAGAAAATACCCTGGCGCCGCCCGTGCATATTACATATACGCACACAGACACACACATTTATATAAATATAGACACATTTTCATTCAGAATGCAACATTGTTCTCTTATCTGCTATATGTTGTTAAAATTGTATTTTTTAACATTTTTTTAAATGTGCTAAGTGAAGGCTTCCTTTTTGTGTCTATTGGTAGTTTATTCCATTGGTTTATTTCCTCCTTAGTGAGTGAGTTGTGTCCATACATATTACTTGTTGTTATTTGTTTTAATTTAAGTGTCCTTGAATTTAGTGTAATATTTGTCAGGTAAGGTAGGGGATTATTTCTAAGTGGTTTGTTTAGATGGTGGATGTATTTGTATATAAATATAAGTGTGTGGTATTTAATTAGGTATTCGATTGGAGGTACTTTTAGTTCCTTTCTAGTTCTAGTAGCTGATCCTGTCTGTCTCTGTGATGTAGCGTTTTGTGGGAATAACCTGTTATAATGCGTAGAGCATAATTCTGTAGTGTGTTTACTCTATCTAAAGCTGATTTGGGGAGATTTATAAGCAGAGTAGATCCATATATGAGATGCGACAGGCAGAGTGACGAGTATATTTGCAGCTTTGTGTTTGTGTGTAGTTGACCCCGTATCTGTCTGAGGAAGCTAATACTTGTACTCATCTTGTCTACTATGTAGTCAGTATGGTCATTCCACGTTAAATGCTGATCTATATACATGCCTAAAAATTTTACTGTTCACGATTGTGGTATCGAGTTGTTACTTATTTCCAACTCAATTTTGTTAGTATCCACAATTTTATTACTGTTGGGGCAAAATAGCATGAATTCTATTTTGTCTGGGTTCATTTGTAAATTATGGTAATCGAATACCTGTTTAATTTTTTCCACATTCATTTGCAGTGTATTAACAGCTTCATTTGGATCTGAATTTGTGGCATATATACATGTATCGTCAGCATATTGGGTCAGTTCACATTTTTCGAGTATGTTTGGTATATTGTTGATGTATATGCAGAATAATAACGGTCCCAGTAATGTCGATCCCCTGTGGGACTCCTCTAACAATAGCCCCACATTCTGATGTGGTGTTGCTAATTTTCACTCTCTGTTTTCTGTCTGTTAAGTATTTATCAATCAGTGTTGTAGAGTATGTGTCAAATCCGATTAGTGCACTCTAGTGCCGAATATTACCACACACAAAATTCAGAAGAAAAAACCATTATTTCAAAAAGCCAGGTAGTGCAATTGGTGGAAGGCTACTGCACGGTGCGTGCATCCTTTATACGACGGTAACTATAGCGACGACGATAACGACGACGATCATTATGTCGAAAACAACAATAACAGAAGAGAATAAAAACGAAGGAGCGTAAAATTAAGGCTAAATTATTAGAAATCCCATGTTCGCTCACTCCAACCTACCTAGAGCAATTATTATGTTTTTAATACAATAATGCCGATATCAGAATCTACTGCAAACATGGCCTTAACATCGTCCGTAATCTGTTTACCCGATCTGCAGATATAAATAAAATTTCATCACACGCTTTTCGAAGATTTTCACCACAGTCATTTGGACTGTTTCAATAATAAATAACGAATTATATTAACTATCAGTCTCAATTTTATCTACACTCATTCGCCTAATATTAGTGATAGTTCCCCGTAAATGCAGTTCACATGCTTCTCTTCAACACACAATTTCACCGCACGCACGCCACTGTGTACACTCACAGAATTACAGACTGACGGATACACGGATTTCTTTCTGTGAGATTGAGCATTGCTAGTGGCGCGCGCGCGGTGAGTTACAGATCATTTGAACGACATTTACGTGCAATAATTATTATTAGTCGACAGAGAATTAATACATAAACATTTGTAGACTTTGTGACTTTGGTAGTAAATACAAATTGTGTTTATTTTCAATCAGTTATTATTGAAACAGTACAAACCCCTGTGATTTTAACCATTAAATGCATAAGGGCTTATCGCCGTATATCAAAGTCAAATACCATTTGTGCGCGCAGCGCCATCCATCAGATGACGTTAGAAACTAGGTTCGAAAGTAGGAATCCATCGACGCCATCTCTACGACTCGTGACTCATGGTGCTGAGCTCCACCCTTGATATCCCACTTCCACCATATACATGTGCGGATTGGAAAGTGTAATGGAAAAGCCGATCAACGGTACAGAGCCTTCAGGCTAAGGTGATCTGGAATGTTTTGCCGGTAGTATTCTGAGGCGCCAGATTTGTTGCTCAGGAATCATTGAAATAAACACTAGATAGATTAGGCTTAGCGCCCCTCCCTCCCCCCAACCGTATTTCCAATAATTTGCGCACTGGCACACCATATAATAATAAATAATAATAATAATAAATAATAACTAACAATAATAATAATAATAATAATAATTAATAATAATAAATTTCGTCCTGCGGTATGACTTTAAACCTGCACGATCCGCGTTTGCTGGAGTTTCAACGTGGGGAATGAGGATTACCTATTGCCACAATCTACCTCCAGGTCAACCTCTTGCGCAAGGTGTAGACCTGCTAGCTCTTCCCGAGGACTTGAATCATTGGGTTGGCGTCCGACGGGGGCCCAAAGTCTGCCCTCATGGGTAGAGGGACCTCCTATTAGCCTGGTCGCAACCCTTAGAGATGGTGGTCTGATAAAAAAAAATAACCAGCCTCTCAGGAGATGCAAAACTCGCGATAACTGCGACATTATGGCCCACGGACGTATGGACATTGCCCTGATGTCCAGAAAATTTTCCAGCCACTAACTATGGGTTTAAAATAGTAAATATCATACCATTGATTGAAATAAGCAATAAGAAAATCATACACGCAGTCGCCTACGTCGCCGCGCGGCTCAACAAGGAGCGCGCTCTCAGTGACTCCGTGAAACAAGCTGATGTCGAAAAATCGGTGTATTGAAATAGACTGAAACAGCTTAACAGCCAAGCTTCAGTAGCAACACAGACCGAGCAGGCACCCAATCTGCTAACTTGGCCTAAACTGAAGCCAGCACCAACACCAGGCAGGCAGCAGTCCACCCAAAGCAAAATAACCAACAGAAAAACAAGAAACCTGAGTGGAACAAAAGGATTCATTATTAGGAAGGATGTGATGTGGTCCTTATTATTTTCTTATAGAGAACATACACTTGATGGCAGGGAGTAGTAAAGTACATAACAACGATATGGGCGCACGACAGGAATCGCAAACATATTTCGCCACCACCACATCATAATAGCCTTGCTATATACAAGAAGAGGATGATTATTTAGAACAAGATAGGCTCACCGACGAACTGGAGTGAGCAGATAGTGGCAGTAGTGATCCGAAAGCAATAGTAATGCCATCAGCAACCAACACTTCATCCCCACTGAAACAACATGAAGACCTACAAAACCCCAGAGCTCCGAGGCTTGAAACAAACACTGCAACATGCGAATACGCCATAATTGGCTGAATCAGTTAGTGGATATATGGAAGATCGATTCTGTACTAATGCCTGCTTGAAACTCAGGCCAATCGCACCTAGATCAACCAGAAGCAATGGAAAAAGGTTCATCCTCAACAAGGCAATACGGAACGATAATTCAAGCTGCCAATCAGGCCCTTCACCAATATTGCATGCAAGCAAAACCATCTTAAACTTAATCAGAAATCAAATGAATTAATGTTACGCAACTGTGCAGTTATTGCTGTGAGAGACAAACGAAAGAGTTCCACAAAGCCCACCAGAGAAGCCAACATGGAAGAAGAGAATCAGCCGACAAAAATTATGAGAAATACTACAGAGCTATTTTCTGATTGTTTGTTGCACAGGGCGTGTCGTCCGCTGTTGAGCACAGGAGGCATCTGAACGGCAGTTTACAGCAAGTATCGCAATAATAGGCGAATATAAGAGTAGAGAAACATTTAAGGCTTCGGTATGTAAATACATTTCGTGGTTTATTTACCCCCCCCCCCCCCCCCCCCCCCCCCCCCCCCGCCCCCGCCCCCGCCCCCCCCCCCCGCCCCTTTTATTTATGTAAGCGTTCAAGTGCCTGTGGGCAGCGGACGGCAGCAGCGACACAGCAGCGCGGCAGCAGCCGACGGCCAAGCAGCAGCAGGAGCGGCGGCAGCAGCGACGGCGCGCAGCAGCGCGAGCACGACGGCGAGCACAAAGGCTAGCGACGGGCAGCAGCAGCACCGCGCGATAGCACGCAGCCAGGCAGCGGCGGCAGGCAGCGATCGGCCAGCAGCACGCGTATACAACGACGGCAGCAGCGCGAAAAAACAATATAGCCAGGCAACGGCAGGCTAGCCGACGGCAGCAGCAGCGGTAGGCAGTGGGCAGCGACGGTAGCAACGACGAGCAGCAGCAACGG